CATTCAGCTCCGCCCCATATTCAGCCCCGCCCCGATCTGCGGGCTGCAGACCCAAGTGGTGCTCGCTGCAGAGCCATTTGAGGAGAGCTGAGCTCCAGCGAGGGGGAGCTTAAGCTTGAGCTCCACCTTTTTTGCACTTCTTCTACGAGTGATGTCACTGGGGGTAGGGTTAGGGGTGGGGTTGGTGTATGCATTAAAACAGCTTACAGGAGGAGGAGCGACAGCTCATGCTCCCCCTCGCTGGAGCTCAGCTCTCCTCAAATGGCTCTGCAGCGAGCACCCTCTCTGCAGACGGGTGTACTTGGTGTGAGGGGCGGTAAAGGAGTTAACAGCTAAGTTGATTTTGTTTTCGATATTCACATTCAGTGATAGGTGGCAATAACTCACACTCCTCTTATCCTAAACAGATCTAAACTGTGTTCTTATAAAAAAAAAAGCAGGTTATGTTTACCAGCGGTCTTTTTCTTTTTTTCCACTCGATATTATGAGCACTGCTTAGTTTAAACCCTCGCCATTGTAACGCATATAAATACATACACTAATATTTGCTGGTAGGAAATATCTATTTGTTCACTTCTGTTATTTATACTTTGATTTGCATTTCAATTTTTTCTTCTTCCACTTAACTGCAAATTTGAATAAAAACTGGATAAAGAGCACACAAACATGCTGACAGTAATAGGTACTGTACACTGTTATGGGTCAATGATGCTAATATTCGGCACAAATCTATCAGTTTCTTAGGTTATTATATTATTTTATAATTTCACCTCTCCTGCTGTGCATGAACTATGCTGTTGAATGTTCAGCATATGAGGTTGCTAGGCTAACCTTGCTTCAATTTTGATAAAATTATTCTCTAATCAGTTGCTATTATGTTGTGAATATACCCCTGTAATGTATACTGCAGTCCTCTTTTGTCTGGCTTTCTCAGATATCTCACCTGTTTGTCAAAAATGACTAATAAATCCTTGGGAATGTCTGACACCAGCGCATACACACTGTAAGAGATGTGCCAGGCATGAAAGCTTGACAGGCGTAGCAACAGTAACTAAGGAGGGCGAGGCTTAGCGAAGGGTTATTCCAAGAATGTTGATATGGTTTCTTTCTTGCTTTACTATTTATTTACAATACACCAAAAACTAAAAGGTTAAGGTAAATTCTTTAATAAATTCTAGTGTTTTTGAGTATTATACTTGTTGTATACTTGTATTATACTTATTATAGTAGTATTAACAATAGTGAACAGATAAAATACAAAGTGTGGTTTTACTACAGTAAAGTGTAGTGATTTGTAGTATAAAATACCCTATATTGTAAAATAATACAGCACTGGGTAATTTGTTTATATTACACTTGTGTTACCATAGCAACTATAGTATTACCACAACTGATCAATTGAAGTTCTTTACTGTAGTAGGCTACTGTTCAAAACACAGTACATGCCAATATACGTGTTTAGGGGCCCTGTGGAACAGCTTTCCTCAAAATGAAGAGGATGACATGGAAAATGTCCTCCACAATCTCATCAGCAAAGTGGAAGCCAGCAGACACTAGTTTACTTTATTTTAGCTGCCATGATAAAATGTGATTGATAGTGAGATTTATTTGAAGAGTGAATAGTACAGTAGGCTATAATACCTTATCAAGTGTTTCCTTATTTTATCACAGTTACATTTCCGCTTGCATTAGTTTTTGTTTAAATGCTTTTAAAATAAAATGTATTCTTTACATCCAACATCTATTCCAGGGGTGCCTTATAGTGGTGTAAACCCCTTTACAAGGGGTGTTTCCCCTGTGTAAACTCTAGCCACCCCGATATGATTTTGCTGTTGACATTATTTATTTAAATCTACTTGCATAAATGCAATACAATGCAATATTTCAATAAATAAATAGCAGCCACTAAATTATTGTGGATCGATTGGTGCCACTGACGAAGCTGGCCTCTTCTGGCCACCCCTAAGCAAATTTTCAGGGGGGCACCACTGGTCTATTCTCTGTCTTTAAGTGTTTGAAACTGAAAATATCTCATCATATAAAACAACCAAAAATGTTGTGGTTTATTAGATTAAACATTTAATATGTAAGTCTATTTTAGTATTTTGGGTATTGTTATTAAACAGTGCAGCAATATGAATCATATCAAAAAGCATAAAAGGAAGAGGGAACACGACACAAATTGTGAGTTTGCATATAATATCTGAGAGCGCTCAAGAAAATTTGTGTGTGAGCAGTGCATCTTTGAGAGCGAGAGAAAATTTGCGCGTGAGCAGCGTATATTTGAGAAGTCGCAATCAGTTTTGTCCACAAACAGAGGAAATCTGTGCACGAGCATCACACAAGGTAGAGAGCAAAGCTCTTCAACGCTATGTGAAGAAAACAACGTTATTGTTTGTATGAAGTAGCCTACTTCATTAACAATATGTGCTACCATTTTACATTGCTGCTAGACAGATTTGCAACTCCATCTCTTTAGCACACACGAGATTCAATTGACAAAATTCCAATTTCACTCAATTTAACTTTGCAGCATATACAGGAGTTGGTCTACTGCTACCACATTGAGGTTATGTAATTTTGGTTAATCACAAGTTGATCACCGAAGACATAACATAGCACAACTAAACCTAATGAATTAGACAGCAGTAGACCTGCAATTTCTGTGTGATGTGAGGCAAAATGGAGTCTTTTTTTGGTGGAACTCGTTCTTGTGCATTATGCTGTGAAGACGAGACGCAGCACTGTTCAGTACTTTTTCAGAAAATTGCATTTGTATTTTATATATCTGAGCAATGTTCTTTCATAAAAAGGTTTGTTTAATTAATACAGATCTTACAACCATACCTAATCTGTATATATTTTATTTTTCTGTTAAAAAGACTCGAAAAGACTCGAAAATCAAACTGCAGGACTTTGGACTTGACTTGAGACTTGTTGCCTTTGACTCGGGACTTGACTCGGGACTTGCCTGTCTTGACTCGGGACTTGACTCGGGACTTGAGGGCAATGAATTGAGACTTACTTGTGACTTGCCAAACAATGACTTTGTCCCACCTCTGCTTTGGACTTTATAAAGTGCAGTACTTGATGTAGCCTGTGTAATGTGTTTATAAATCTTAAACAGTTTTCTTGTGGTCTTTGTATTAAGTGTAGATTATTTAGTTTTTATTCTTATCTAAATTGTTATTTTTACTGTTTTACATGTCTGCTTTATACTTGCTGTGTAATTTTATTTCTTAACACATTCAGTTGTGAGTTGTAATGAAATATTTCTACATTAATAAATAAAAATGGACATCTGTGAACCAAAATATTTTATTTATTTATTTGTGCATGCAGTCACCAAAGGATCAAAATGCCTGGGTCAGTACCCTGAAAATACTATATAATATAAAAAGGTACATTTTTGTACCTTCAGTGTCTAGGGTACAAAATTGTCCTTTAAAGGGTACAAATATAGAAGGTACAATTTTGTACCTTTAAATAGAGGTACAAATTTGTACCCTTAAGGGTACCACCCCAGTGACGGGCCATTTGTACCCTAAAAGGTACAATTTTGTACCTTTTTTTCTGAGAGTGTAGTTATTTTTCAATGGAAAGCTTATAATATAGTTTATATATAGTTTTGCAGAAAACGCTTATTAGATATGGCGTACATATCATGTAATAACAATACACACACGCATTCATTGCTGTGCATCACAGTTTATTTTGAAAGGTAAGAGTCCACAGAAAAAATATCCTATCAAGCATATTTAGTCCACCGACACAATAGTGTTGAATTATGGATGGTTATTCATTTGTTTATGTCACCGTTTCTGCCGGAGACCTATTGTTTACACCGTTTTACCAAGGTACTATACATAAAATGTACTCATTGTCATAAATAAAATCAAACACAAACTTTGAACGTCATGAATGCAAAATACATTATCAGTGACATTGCCTTGCACCCCATGTGTCGCGACACATCTCTGACAGTGAAACGAGTTCCTCATTCTAGTTCAAGCTGCAATAGTTGCATCTGTTTACCGCTTGCTGTGCCTAGGTAATTTTAGGAGTTCAAGATCATTGTATAGATGGCGTGTAGAATACGTAAGTAGCACACGTTTTGGCCCCAATGGGCATTAACGTTTTGGCCCCAACGGCCTTCCATACAGCGTTGACGTATCGGAGCAATGGATCGAAACGTACAACGAGGCGCCTTCAATTATATCATGTCTATGTTTACTTTCATATAAAAATTTAAATCATTTTGTTTTAGAGAGTGCTTGTTTTATGAAGCAGTATAATTTTGAGGTGCGTTTGAAAGTTGTTGAAGTGAAGCCATGTTTATTCAACACAGATCATGCAAAAAAAAAAAAAAAATGTCAAAGTTGATTTATATAAGGATTTCTGTAACTTTTTTCAACCGTTTATTATTCAACATTGTTTCAACTTTGAAACAACAACTGACTGGTCATGCAGACTGGTTTACCAAAAAAATTTAAACTGTTCAACGGTAAAGACATTATACATAATACATTTGACCGTATTTCAACCATATTTCAACGTTGAAGGTCGGTCGTGTGCCGGCTTAGAACCTACCTGTTGCAGCTGAGATGAGATTTTGCTTTGAGGTGACAATTCCAACCACTGGCACTGAGCCACCGTGGTGCCGCCCCGGTTTTAATACATTGCAAAATAAATTTTACTACTATTATGTTTTCATACTACCACATATTTTATAATCTTGAGCATGAGAATGGATAGTCCCGGTTTTATTCCAGTTGCTATTTTTAAATTTGTTAATCACACCCACACCAACATAATCCCTATCTCCCACTTTCATCTCATTGGTCCACTTTGACTGTCAATGTATTTAGACAACCAGTAAAGAGAAGAGTCGTTTCCTGAGAAACTGCACAGAAGATAAAATCCTTGAAAGAAACGCTGCTGTCATTTTAAACAAATGTCTGTGTGCATGTGCGTGTATTCATTTTGACTTTTTCTGCAAGAACCATGCATAGAAAACTATTGCAATAGGTTTATTAATGATTTTGTAATTCTAGCCTACAGACGGGTTGATATCTGTGTTATGCTAAAGAAAACAGTGCTGACTGTTAAATAGTCATGCGTTTCCAAATTATTATGGAAACAAGATGCGTTTTTTGTTTTTTGTTTCTCCTGACTGAACACATTGCAGTGATGAGTGCTCAAGGAAAGGATTTTAATCAGAGTCGGCTTTCCATGGGACCTTTGTCTCCAACTCAAAAATCTACGATTGTAATAGGAAACCAGATCAACGAGTCCATGCCTCGGCGACCAAAAGTTTTGCCTCCTATGTGTACAGATCCCACGGAAATCAGGGACACCTTCAAGTATATTAACACCGTGGTTTCATGCCTTGTATTTGTAGTTGGTATAATCGGAAATTCCACGCTGCTTAGAATCATTTATAAAAACAAATGCATGCGGAACGGTCCAAATATTCTCATTGCAAGTCTGGCGCTTGGGGACCTCTTACACATCATGATAGACATTCCCATCAATGTGTATAAGGTAAGTATTATTTAACGCAAATAATTAATTTAGTATTTAAGTTAAAATTAATAAATACATAAATAAATATATTTTTATTTTGTGAGTTGTTCCTAATTTGCCACTTGTAACATTATTTATAGATCACAGTTCTGAAATCTGAAACCCAGTTCTTCACTGACATGATCGTTCCAGTATGTAAAATAAATTGTTCCAAGTGTGTGAATTAGGATATATGCTTTTCCCCCTTCAGTTTCTAAACAAAATCATTACGTCCAGTTCAAAATCTAGTTTCCGGCATCAGTATACTATATTTTAGTATGTTTTTATTACAACAATAAAATGTTTTTAGTATTTAGCAATACTGTTTTGTCTTTCTATACGTTTAAAGTATAGCCTACTACAACGAGGATATTGCATTTCCATATTAATCTGGAGGTGTTAAATCTGAAAGTTGCAATGAGATACATATTTCAAAGGTCAAATTTCACAGAAGCAATCGTCATATGATTTCATACAAAACAGCTTGAAGGTCCAAAAACAAATTATCTTATCTTAGTTGAAACTGTGAAGTCAACAACAATGTTTTTGTTATTATTATTTTACTATTTATTTTGCTCTTAGATGTTTACACAAAAGTACCTGTTTTTCAGCTTCTGGCTAAAGATTGGCCATTTGGTGTTGGACTTTGCAAACTGGTTCCTTTTATACAAAAGACATCAGTTGGCATTACAATTCTGAGTTTGTGTGCACTGAGCATAGACAGGTATTCTTAATTTACTGTATTTGCTTGTTTTGTTTAATATTTATTAACTAATCAGTTTTGCATCTGGCACTAATCATTTTCCCAAGATTTCGAGCAGTGTCATCCTGGAACCGCATCAAAGGCATTGGTGTTCCCAAATGGACAGCCATTGAAATCATTCTGATTTGGGTGTTGTCCATTATACTTGCAGTGCCAGAGGCCATTGCCTTTGACATGATCACAATGGACTACAAAGGAGAGCAGCTCAGGATTTGCCTTCTGCACCCTAAGCAAAGAATCAAGTTTATGCAGGTCAGTTTGCATATATAGTAAAGATGTCCTGTGCATATTATACATATATATATATATATATATATATATATATATATATATATATATATATATATATATATATATATATATATATATTGAATTGCCTAACAATTAAAAATTGCAACCCTAAATTAATCTTTCTTAAATTACAGTTTTATAAGAAAGCCAAAGATTGGTGGCTTTTCAGCTTCTACTTCTGCATGCCATTGACATGTACTGCCATATTTTACACTCTTATGACCTGTGAAATGCTTCGGAAAAAAAATGGAGTCCAAATTGCACTCAGTGATCACATAAAACAGGTCAGAGTATTACTGAATGAGTACTGTTCAGAGTAAACATAAGCTTATTTACAAATAATAATCATATTTTCTGCTGCTAATTAGTTGAAATATGTAATAATCATTTAATGTACTTATGTCTAATTCACATGATTGGAAACTTATTTACTTATTATTATTTCTTATACATGATTCAGAGACGTGAGGTGGCTAAAACCGTTTTCTGTTTGGTGCTAGTCTTTGCACTGTGCTGGCTTCCACTGCATCTTAGTCGTATTCTTCAACGTACAATTTATGATGAAAGGGACCCCAACCGTTGTGAGCTTCTGAGGTAGGATCTCGTCTTACAAGCTTTTGTTAAAATACTGCAATGTCCTTCTATTGGAGCGCAACAATTCTGACATGTAGTGTAAAAACAAATATGTTCATTATTTTACTTTGTGTTCTTCTTAATAATAATCAAACTGTGTTTGTTTACATGTAGTTTCTTCTTGGTTCTTGATTATATTGGGATCAATATGGCATCAGTGAACTCATGTATAAACCCAATTGCTTTGTACATGGTTAGCAAGCGCTTCAAGAGCTGCTTCAGAGTAAGTTCAAAGTTCAAACAAATTCAGTAAGCTTAATGATGATGCTATGATGTAAGGCAGGGGTGTCAAACTCACTTCCTGGAGGGCCGCTGACCTGCACACTTTAGTTCCAACCCTGCTTCAACATTACGTGTAGGTTTTAAACAAGCATGAAGGACTTAATTAGTTTGATCAGGTGTGTTTAATTAGGGTTGAAACAAAACTGCATAGCTAAGGCCCTCCAAGAACTGGTATATATATTAGTGCTGTCAAAATTAGTGCGTTAACGCATGCGATTAATTTGAATTATTTAACACGTTAAAAAATTTATGCAATTAACGCAGTTGCAGGTTTTTTTTTCCTGTTGTTGCTGACGTGTGTTCAACATACACAGAAGTATGGATAAGACAAATGAAGCACTTTTTGAAGACAAGTTTCAGTATAAAACATTTAATGTCACATTACTCGGTTATCCAGCGTTTCCTCGTTTCATCTAATTTTGTATGTTTAATTTTTAATCTTTCGACTTTTGTTTTAATTGAATTTGATACTGCATGGCAAACGGAAAGAAAAACCTCCGCATTTCGGGACTCTGGTGGTCCTTTAAGGTAGTCAAAAATGTTTTACATGGCTGTTTACATGGTAAGGCACCATGGTAAGGTTTACATGTTTACATTCAAATGGCACTAACATGCCTGTGTTTTTATTTCTGTAATAAATATGGCTGTCAAGCCAGGATCTTGATGGTTTATTTCAAGTATGTTGCTTACATGAAGAAATCTTTGTTACAAATTAAACAAAAATTCTAATGAACAATTATATTTTGAATTTAAATAGTTTTTGTCTTGTGTTTACATTTGAATAGCTAAAATTGCAAGTTTCAGTCTTTTAAATGTGATTAATCATGATTAATTGCAAAAAAAGTGTGATTAAATTAGTTAATTTTTTTTATCGATTGACAGCACTAATATATATATATATATAATTTAAAAAATAAATAATACTGCTTCCAGTTTTTTGATGTGAGTATAATAGAAATAATACATTTTATGTCATACATGAAGGTCCCTGCATTTAAGAGATTATTTACATAAAACACGTTTGCACTCAACTGAACTCTTTTATGAGAGTATGCTGTCTAACATGTACTAGACAGGAATCTTTTTAGTATGATGCACAATAAAGATGCAATGTCATGTAAGTGAAAAAAAGTAAATGTAAACAAAAAAACTACTCATGTAACATACACAGTTGAAGTCAGAATTATTAGCCATCCTTTAAATATTTTTCTCTTTTTTAAATATTTCCCAAATGATGTTTACAGCTTTTCCCAATTGTTTACACACATTTTCTGAAAGCATGTCTCATATTGTCAGAACTCTACACACATATCACATAACACACACATAGGGCAAAACCCTTCAATTCTTCTGCAAAATGAAACTCAACGTTCAAAACAATGTGATTTTTTTTCAAAATGGCATTTTGTTTTCAAATGACACACACCAACTATCACATAAATAGACATTTATAAGAACATTTGAACACTCCGACAGCTTCGTCTCCATTTATCATAATGACTTACTGTAAGCCTTTTTTGTGTTACACTTACTACAGACAGTACATTAGCCTACATTAGTGCATTGTAAAATATGTCAGAATATTGTTTTTATACAAAACACACAAATACACAGTACCAAATATATTTTACTCTATTTTTCCCACAAAGACAGTGTACACAGTGTTCATCCCAATCGACAAAAAGTTGCACATAACGTGGTCTACATATACCATCAACATAAGCATTTACAGAATACAGTTACAGTTACAGGGCGGTGGTGAGTGAGTATGCAAAGAAGGACAACTGACTTTACAATTTCCTTGTGAAAAGAGATTTTTTGCATGAAAATTGTGCCAAATGCAGAGAATTGTGTGTTGTGTTTTGGAAAAAGTGTGTTTTAAATATGCAATTTGAGTGCAGGAATTGTGCTTGTAGTTTAGTAGAATTGGTTCAGGAGGTTGGTGCATCACTTATAATGTTGTAGTCATTGTATCTGAAGTACAAGTAATTGTGTGTAAACAATTGGAAAAAACTGCAACAGCAAAGAAGTTTTCACAGTATGTCTGATAATATTTTTTTCTTCTGGAATAAGTCATATTTTTTTTTTTTTGCTGTTGTTAATTTTAACCATTGTAAGGACATAATTATTAGCCCGCTTAGGCATTTTTTTTTCTCAATAGTCTACAGAACAAACAATCATTATAAAATAACGTGTCTAATTACCCTATCCTGCCTAGTTAACCTATTAACCTAGTTAAGTCTTTAAATGTCACTTTAAGCTGTATAGAAGTGTGTTGAAAAATATCTAGTAAAATATTATTTACTTTCATCATGGCAAACATAAAATAAAACTAACACACACACACACACACACACACATATATATATATATATATTGTAAAATCCAGTTTTCAAAAGTTTTTATATTTTATTTGTTAAGCTCCCTATTTAAGAAATTATTTAGTTTAACTCTATATTTACTTGATGTTGTCCTGGTACATTATATGATAAATATGTATTTTTTCTGTTTTGTTCAGTCATGTCTGTGTTGCTGGTGTCTGCCTCCTGAAATACTAGCCATGGATGACAAACAGTCCTGCATAAAGCTGAAGGTAACAGAGCGAGGATCAGCCATAACAGCCATGTCTCCAACAAGTATACTTCAAATTAGGCACTGATATGCTTACATGTATCAATGGCCAACAAATTTACTTTAACATTTAATACTATGCAAATAAAACCATGAACCATAAAATGGTGATATAAAAGGCAAATCTAAGATTGTGCTTGTAAGTTTAAAAAAAGCATACATATTACATATAAGTTCCTGTTTTAAAGGTGTTTGCATAAGACTGTCATGACACCTTCTTAATTATGGCATTTATATCTTTACAACTGTCTTTAAGGGTCATTCAGCAGATTAATTATCAAACTTAAACTAAGCTTTATGAGGTTTTGACTCTTTGATTGTCATATGTGGATTATAATTTTGTCACAGATATTTTTGAAAACCTTTTTCAGTGGTACAAATTAAATTGGTCAAAACAATTTGTCATTAAAAGTGTTAACAATGTCAAATTGTTTTATAATTGCATCATTAATATTTTTTTTGACCTCAACTACATGGATACAAATTCGATTTTGTTATTAAAATGTCATTAAATGTTAATACTCAAGAGTAGGTGTTACAAGTCAAATATTTTTGTAACAATGTAATGGTTCTTTTTCATTTCAATAATGTTTCCTTCAACCAAAATAATTTTTTTCCCCGTCATCAGTATTTCTAATCAGTTTTAGGAGTTATTCAAATAATCAAATGATCTGTAATTTACCTGCTCTCTAAGCCAACAGGCTCATAGCCATCTATGAGATCACTGTAACACTGTATTTTTGGTTTATATGTAATTTAATTTCTCTAATACCTGTTCATGGTTTTTTATGACATTTAAAATTGTATGGAACAAAATCAATGCCAAAAGTCTTGAAATAAAAAGCTTGTTGAATAGCACAAACTGAAAAAAATAATACACCGTATTAACAAGTTCTTGCATTTTAATAACTTGAATTCCAGGGTTTGTATTTTTAGGTCCTGAAAATTAACATAGCCGTTTATTTAAGCTGTGAATATTTCAATGAAAAATATTTCAAACACGTTTTGATACTTAAAATTCAATAATTCATATTCAATTTCCAGATTTCACTTACAAAATATTCAATACCCTTAAAAAATACAATGTATAATATTCAAAAGGTAATTTTCAGTTCATTTTATTTCAGTTCAAATATTCGTTTCCATAAAATAAGAGGCTTAAATTCGACTGTTCAAATTCAACATTACATCCGGGAACTGCAGGAAAAGCAATAGATTGCAGATTGAAGATCGCCAGCTGCTCTAGCTTTCACCAGCAGGTGGAGATGGAATAATGTAAGATTTTTAACCCAGTAAACATGCGAGAAAAAAGCTAATAAAGGCACAAAAGTAGTATTTAATATTAATATCAATGCCTTGGACATTATATATGATAAAAAGTATGAGTAAAATGAGTAAATGAGATTTTAGTCATCTATTTTTTGCCCTTATGTAACGGAAGCCAGCTGGTGATTGCGTAAACTTCACTCCTTGGATCCAGGGACAGACGTTCTGCAATCTGTTGCATCTTCGGAGCATTTGTCTCCCATGCCGGTATCGCCGGCTCGCTCCCTGCTCGGACTGGTGTGGTTACACATAAACCATCTTTTGATGAATATGATGTTACACATTCTCTATCTTTATTAACTCTTTCTTCCATAGACGTGAAGTATTATTTTGACAGCTAAAGAATACAAACGTAAGAGAAACAGGAGAGGAAATCTTATAATTATACAAAATAGATAAACATTGCAGAGGAACAATTAAGTACAAAGATATTCAAAACCAGAGAGATTTTATGAGAATGTCACACAAAACAGTTACTTGGAACTGTAAAAACAGAGAGTTCAGGTATGATTTAAGGTTGGGTAAGGATGGGGCGTGTAATTTAAAATAATTTAACATAACATGCGAATGCATTAAAGGAGCGTCTTCAGTTATTATTTAAACGCAGATATGTCAGGATTGGGATAGGTTATATATTTTCATTATTTAAATTATTATTATGATTGTTAATATTATTATTTTATGACATTTATTTTATGCCACGGTTAAACGTTTGCAAAATGTCTTTAGTTTGTCCAGATTAATAGTTTTTCCTCTAGAATAGAGACTAAGCAGAAGGAAAATTAATGAATTGATGAATGAAGGAAATGATTGGCATTTTCATACCTGTGCTTTGCGGCTTGCACACGACAAAGTCGAATGAGTGGCCACGAGCTCCGGTGGCCGGTCAGAGCCAGCGCCGCACATCAAACTGGTTAAGAGATGCTGGATGGCTGCCAATATATGATGGGAATTCTTCTGAAGTTTCAGATGATATCTGGGCTTGTGCATAATTATGTAAAGTGAAAGTGAAAGTCGTGACATTTGGCCAAGCATAAGAATATAGCCTACAAGAGTGTTTCGATTATTATATTAATCATGACATGGCTTGGGTTTATATGAATAACACCTCACTGTTTACCATTTCCGAAAGTGGAGCTGACGTTGGCTCAAAATGTTGCTTGTATAATTGTAAAAAGAGTGATGAATATTAATGGCTTTCTTATATCTGTCATTTCTGATAATATAATTGATTTAACTAGTGTAAGCTTATGACTATCCAACACTCATTTAGCAAAAATGCATCGAGAATCCTAAACCAATAACTATGTCAAGCAAAAATTATAATTTTATAGGCTACTGATTTAAAAAAAAAAAAAAACAAGAAAAAAGAAACTATTAGCTACCCTAGCAATTGTTTATTTAAATATGATCATCTCAAAATATAAAATAAAAACATAATGGTTTGACTTTGTGATATCATAAAACAGACTTGCAGAAAAGAGTTAATAGAATAAATGAGCAAATACATTCTCTCCAGTGGATGGCGAATAAAGCTCAGTAATAACCCCATGATGATGAACACTGAGCTGCTTTGCACGAACCACTCAACCATGTATGTTAAACCACACATTTTAAACATTAATCTTATGAAACTAGCTGAAGTGACAACTATATTAAATTCAATCCAGTTTAATTAAGTTTAGATGTGTAATAACTGCAAAAAAGATCAACATTGCTAATCATAAAATACAACTGTCGCTGAAAAGTTATTAGACTACAATAAAAACTGTTCAGAGAAGGAATTTCTTATTTTATACTGAAAAATAATTAAAGTCAGTTATGATAGCCCTATTATCAAACCACAGGCGACTCATTTGATTACTTATAATTGGCTGCAACATTGCCACTTTTGCGTTAATACTTTTTTCTCGCTTATAGGCTACATAACAATAAAATAATAATTTGGACAAACTAAAGATATTTTGCAAATGTTTAACCATGGCAGAACCCCAAAACCTAGAAAAAAATAAGAGAAAATAGAAATATTAATTTAGAATCACAGATGACTTATTGAAAAAACTGTTTTGTTACTTTTGGTTTTTGTTTAACTGTTGGTTTTGAATATCTTCGTTCTTAATTGTTCCTCGTTTATCTATTTTGTATTATTATAAGATTTCCTCTCCTGTTTCTCTTATGTTTGTATTCTTTAGCTGTCAAAATAATACTTCACGTCTATGGAAGAAAGAGTTAATAAAGATAGAGAATGTGTAACATCATATTCATCAAAAGATGGTTTATGTGTAACCGCACCGGTCCGAGCAGGGAGCGAGCCGGCGATACCGGCATGGAAGACAAATGCTCTGAGGATGCTACAGATTGCAGAATGTCTGTCCCTGGATCCAAGGAGTGAGCTTTATGCGATCACCAGCTGGCTTCCGTTACATAAGGGCAATTAAATAGATGACTAAAACCTCATTTACTCATTTTACTCATACTTTTTATCATATATAATGTCCAAGGCATTGATATTAATATTAAATACTACTTTTGTGCCTTTATTAGCTTTTTTCTCGCATGTTTACTGGGTTAAAAATCTTACATTATTCCATCTCCACCTGCTGGTGAAAGCTAGAGCAGCTGACGATCTTCAATCTGCAATCTATTGCTTTTCCTGCAGTTCCCGGATGTAATGTTGAATTTTAACAGTCGAATTTGAGCCACTGAATTTATGGAAGCGAATATTTGAACTGAAATAAAATGAACTGAAAATGACATTTTGAATATTATACATTGTATTTTTAAAGGGTATTGAATATTTCGTAAGTGAAATCTGGAAATTGAATATGAATTATTTAATTTTTAAGTATGAAAACATGTTTGAAATATTTTTCATTGAAAAATTCACAGCTTAAATAAACAGCTATGTTAAATTTCAGGACCTACAAATACAAACCCTGGAATTCAAGTCATTAAAATGCAAGAACTTGTTAATACGGTGTATTATTTTTTTCAGTTTGTGCTATTCAACAAGCTTTTTAATTCAAGACTTTTGTCATTGATTTTGTTCCATAAAATTGTATATTAATATTGATATATTTAAATTAATGTAAATTTAAAGTAGTTTGTTTATCATCTTTGATATCTGATATATCATGTTTATAGCATATTCATGACAAGTTATGCTGTCTTGATAATGCCAAGTTTTCATGAGAAAGATGCTGACAGGTGTACATTTATTGATAATGTTTCATAAAGAGATCTAAAACTATTGATCAGCTTGCAATTTTCATAAGCACATATGGACTCCCCTTTGTATTCATGATGTGTCATGTCATGATTTCTATGCAAGCATTTGAGTAGTAGTTTGTTTTTTTTAATTCATTTGAATTAACATTCAGCATCTACAGATGAATAATGATCATGTTTAAGACTGAGCTGTTATGAGAAGGTTAAAACAAAAGTCTTTTGTTTCACACATTTAACTTTTATTCATACATTTATGCTTTAGGAACAAAATAGAAATGTTAGACCACATTTGACTGTAATCTCTTAAATGCACATCACATGTACAGTTCTCTGGACATTTTAAAAATATCCTAATGTCTTTAAAGCAAATTATTATAACAACAATGCTTGTTTTAAGTGAAAAAATAAGTAGTTGCCCAAAAGGACATTTCAAGTCAACAAGCTTATTGCATGGGTGCAGCAAGGGATTTGAGTAGTCTACATGCTAATCTCCATGTCTCGAAGCCTTGAGCATGTTGCCTATTTCTTAATCGTGTGTTATAAATCCCGCTGTGCTGTTCAGCTTCT